AAAATAATATCCAATTTTTATTCTTTTTACCTCCTGCCCTCTTCAGGCCGGGTTTCCATTAAAACTAAGTGTAAATACTATTGCTTGAGTAAGAATAAATTTAAAGCTTTTACTTGATAATACCAATATTTTTATTAAATATTACTGATCACTTATACCTAATATTTAATATTAAAAAAAATTCCCAGGAAAAGTAAAAAGCCATAATAATTTTGAAAAATTCTTCCAAGCCCAATGAAAGATCATAATAATTTTGGTAGTTGAGAACTGAAATAAAACATTTAAATAATCATAATGAATTTAAAAATACAATAAAAATCAGATTTTCATGGGCCCTGGTTTTTTGATCAGGCCGAGCCCAGACCTGCAAAATAACTTGTTTTAGGCCAATGTCTGACCTATAGTTAATAATAAAAAAATTATCAAACGTCCAAGCTCATAATAATTTTCCCCAAGCCCAGCCCAATATAATTTATAAAAATATTTTCCAAGCCCAGACTAACTTATAATAATTTTATAAAAAATTTTCTCAAGCCTGGCCAACCCATAGTAATTTTCAAAAATTTTTTCTAAACCTGGAGATAGGTAAATCACTAAAAACCATATCTATTTTTTATTCTAACTTAACCCAGCTCACCACCAGACCAAGGCCAACCCATTTAGACTAAGAGTAAATACCGTTATTTGAATAAAAATAATATTTAAATTAGCTTTTACCTGAGGTCCATATAAATTGTGTTAAATATTACACCTATGCCTAATATTAAAAAAATTCTTAAGCCAGATACACGCACTTATAAAATTTTCTTAAACCTGCCAAAGACCATAATAATTTTGGTAGTTGAGAACTGAAATAAAATATATAAAAAGTCACAATGCATTTAAAAATACAATCAGAATATGAAAGTTGCATGGGCCTTGGTTTGTGATCAGGCCTGGCCATGTCTTCAAAAATTTTTCAGGCCAATTTCTAGCCCATATTTAAAATTAATAAATTTTTTGAAAAATGTTTAGCAAGCTATGTCCAAGTCCAAGTTAATTGTGAAGAATATTTACCATGCCCAGGAAAACTCAGAATAATTAATTTTTTCCTTGGATCCTGAAAAATAGTAAGGGGTTTATAAGAATTAAATCTGTCTAATATATGTATATATTAATTGGGAAAATTTTTCAAAATTATCATCAAATGAAGGGGGAAATATCTGATTTACCTCTCATTATATGAAATTCATGAATACATACTAAAGTACCATGCTGAAAATATGTTCATCCTAATTTAAATTTTAAACAAACCATCACCTTTCCAAATGATTTATTATTTAGTTACAAATTATAAAATTAAATTTAAGAAATTGATATTAAATTACAATAGAAAAAATAAAAAGATATTATAAGTTATCAAATAATAGGTTAACTACAAATCATAGTCAAATTATATATAAGTAAAACAAAAATGTTATACATTCCATCAAAAATGTTATAATAAGTTAATACATTCTACAATTATGAAGTTATGAAAAAATATACAACACTATATTATAATAGATTGAATTATTTAATGGTAGTTGAAGTATTAGTAAGTGGACAATTTTTACAAAATTATTTAATTCTTTATTTATTCCTTCAAAATATTATGCTAATAATCTCTGCAATTTTTCTTGGAATATCTATCAATTTTATCTTAAACCATACAATAAATATATTACAATAACTCAGATCGTAACATTAAAAGGTGCTGGAAAATAAGGATCTACAATATGTCAAACAATATATATGGTTAAAAGTAAATATTGATGCAAAATGTTATTAATTTGTGAAAATTTTAAGGATTTTTTTAAAACATTTTGGACGCAGCTTAAAATAAAATTTTAGTTAATTATTATTCAATACTTAAAATTATAAAAATAAAATTTGGTATCTAATCTATCTCCAGTTTTGGAATAATAATAAAAATGATTATTTTAGAAAGGAACTATTAAATATACACATGAGTTTCATATAAAACCTATCTAAATAACTTTTCTTTAAATTCAAAAAATTTATTGAATAATTAACTAAAATTTTATTTTAAGCTGCATCCAAAATGTTTTAAAAATCCTTAAAATTTTGAAAATTAATAACAATACTTTGGACACATTTAAGTTTTAACAAAATTATAATAAAAATGTTTATCAAAGTATACTTAACAAAAATGTTTTACCCCTAAATTCCTAGACATACTATGACATTAAAACTCTCCTTTATTCTACCCAGTTTGATTAAATATCTTTAAGCCAATTTTATCTGTAGTTAACTATATAATCTATGAAAAATTTAACCTTCATTAACGTTTTCTATAACCTTATGAAGATGGTAAAATGTGTTATAAATTTTTGGACCTATTAGCCTATAATCATTTTTATTAGACAAATTTTTTTTAAAAGAACACTATTGGCTAAATTTGATTGACGTTTTTTGAGGATTATTATTTGTTAATGTTTTGCCATGGCTCGTAGTTTGCCGTATGTGAGTGAGGAAGATCGCTGCGGTATGTAAAGTTTCTTTGTTGTAAGTGATGGTGAAGAAGTTCTCTTTTCTTTGCTCAATGTGGTTTCGTTTTTGAAGATGATGTTGTAATTTCCTTGCTCGTAGTTTGCCGTAAATAACGTGAAAAAAAAGTGTAAATTGAAATTATAAAATAGAATTTACTGTTGTTGGTGAAGAAGATGGTTTAGCGATGGTGAAGAAGTTCTCTTTTCTTTGCTCAATGTGGTTTCGTTTTTGAAGATGATGTTGTAATTTCCTTGCTCGTAGTTTGCCGTAAATAACGTGAAAAAAAAAGTGTAAATTGAAATTATAAAATAGAATTTACTGTTGTTGGTGAAGAAGATGGTTTAGCGATGGTGAAGAAGTTCTCTTTTCTTTGCTCAATGTAGTTTCGTTTTTGAAGATGATGTTGTAATTTCCTTGCTCGTAGTTTGCCGTAAATAACCTGAAATAAAACGTGTAAATGAAATTATAAAATAGAATTTACTGTTGTTGGTAAGGAAGATGGTTTAGCAATAGTGAAGAAGTTTTCTTTTCTTAGCTCAATGTGGTTTCGTTTTTGAAGAGGATGTTTAATTTCCTTGCTTGGTTGTAGTGGGCCAAATTGAATTATAAATCATATTTTTAGTCATTCTACATTTAAAAAAATGAAAGGGATCATTAAGATTCTTTTCATTATATAATGAAATAATATCTTCTTCATTTTTATATTGAGATAAAGGAGTTAATTTAGCTTTGTTTGGCAACTGTATAATTTAAAATGTATAGATAAACTGATTACTTCATCTGTATAAATTAACTCTAATTGAATAACAATATGATTATCTTTACCCTTTAAAGACATTATTAAATATTATTTAAATTATAAACCTCTTTATTTGTTGATAAATTTCTAGATATTTCTTCTGAGTTATCAAAAATAAAACTATTGGGTATATTTTCCATTTGCTATATTTTGAAGAGAAATTTAATTAACATTCTACAGACAAACTATAAAACTTATAAATTTTAAAATATTACGTTTCATTCACATTTAAAAAAAAATATAGTTAAAAATTATAAAACCTGGGCTTCATTATCTAACAATGACATAATTTCTGGATAGGGGGCATCTAAATGAGATTGCTATTAATTATAAATATAGAAAATGTCTTGATTTATTAAAATAATTATATTTAAAATATATATAACCTGGGCTTTATCATCTAACAATGGTATAATTTCTGGATAGGGGGGCATCTAAATGAGATTGCTATTAATTATAAATATAGAAAATGATCTTGATTTATTAAAATAATTATATTTAAAATATATATAACCTGGGCTTTATCATCTAACAATGGTATAATTTCTGGATAGGGGGCATCTAAATGGGATTGCTATTAATTATAAATATAGGAAATGATCTTGAAATAATCATATTTAAAAATTATAAAACCTGGGATGATTTTTTTTGTAATGATATGGTGATAGTAATATGGTTTTTATGGAAGTGATTTGTGAATGAATGATTTAGTTTTCACGTTGATTACCATTGATCAAATTTGCTATAATCATTTTGATTGGACAAATAATATTTAAAAGAAAACTATTGGCTAAATTTGATTGACATTTTTTGAGGATTATATCTATAGATTGACTTTAATATATTATATAACTGTCAAATACGTCTAAAAAATGGCAATATATCTAATATTTTATAAACAACTGTATATAGTAAAGGATTATAAACTATATGTCTACTTACTTTTTATTTATTTGGACCTTGAAAATATATTTAAGGTATGATAATAAAATTTCAAAATAAATATACACTTGATTACTCATTTTGAACTCGGATAATTACAATATTAAATTTGTTAATTTTCAAATAATATATGATTATATTTATTTAATTAGGGTTCAATAATAATTTAAATAATAAAAGTCAATTAAACTTTAACTGTTAAAGCTAAATTAATTTTTAGTTAGTTATTGATATTATATTTTTAATACAGAATTTGATTGCAAGCTGATATAGTGAAAATATAATTTATATTTATTAATCAAATCTAATAATTAAAATAATATTCATTTGATAAAAATTTAGTCCTATTAATTTCTAAATAATAAAATTATATTTATATATTACTTAATGGAATTATAAAAGAAATCATTCAGTGGGCAATCAAAAAAATTTATTTAAGTTCAAGGGGATATTAAGGAGATATTAAAAAAAAAATTTTTGTGCTTCAGAGGGCTATTTAAATTTTTCAGGGGGTTCGAGCCCCTGCGCCCCCCCCCCCGCCTTAGCGACGCCACTGTTGCCAGGCCCAAAAGATTCTTATAGGATTTATAGAGCTCGATTGGTTTAAATTTTTGCTTGGCCGAACCTGTTATAATATTTTTTTTAAATTTGTCCGTTCCAGTCCGCAAGCCTAGCTTTCTGGCAGGCTGGGTTTTACATATCTCTAATCTAAATATACTCTTGAAAAAATTAAAAGGGATCAGTTTGTAAGTTGACAGATATTACCATATGCCAGGTAGAGACATATGTTCGTTAGTTTTCTTTGTGATACATTTATTATTTATGAAATTTTATTTTATTTTATTTTTGCATTCTATTTCAAATGCAAATGCCTTTGAACCCTTATCAAGTATTGTGGCAATGTTTAGAGCTCTTATTGCCACATCCTCCATAGTTTATCATGGTATTGATAAATTAAAGTGTTTGACAAATAACTATGAATGCTGTAATGAAAAATGGATACCACATAGTACAGCTGGTGATAATTATTATTAAATTTATTATATTATCTTATCAATAGAACTACATAATGATTTAAAAACAAAAATATATGGGCAACACATTGCGATTGACTTATTATATAAAGCAATTTATTCGCATATTATCAATAAAAATCCAGAAAAGCCTTTAGTAATATCTATCCATGGATGGACTGGATGTGGTAAATTTTTAAATACATATATATTTGTATATTTTTTATGTACAAGGAAAAACATACACCAGCCAACTAATTGCTAAAAGCTTATATAAATTAGGTATGAATAGTAAATATGTTCATTTATGGATTGCATCTTTTCATTTTGCTCATGAATCACTGACACGATTATATATTGTATTAATATGTGTAGATGTATTGAATAAAAGCAAATTTTTTAGGATCAAGTTAGAAACTGGATAAAAGGAAATACAACAAGATGTCCTCATCAATTATTTATTATAGATGAAATGGATTTCATGTCATATGATCTAACAGATGCTTTTAAACCATTTTTGAAATACCATACATTAGTTGATGGAATAGATTTTAGGAAAAATATCTTTATATTTATCAGGTTTTTATCATATATAAATTTTATTTTTTAAAAACAAAAGTGTTATTATATCATAATAAATGATATATACAATAATTGGTTAAGGTAATAATTTTAGAAAAAAATTTGTGGTTTGTAAAACACATATTCAACGATATTTAGGCAATATTTTTTTGCCTAAAACATAGAGTTAGCAATTTTTAAAATAGTGTGCAAGAAGTGATTTTGTATCATCACTACATACAACTAATCATCTTGAACTTTTTAATAGTAGAACAATACCTAAACATATATGCCAATCAAACAAATGTAGGTGGCATTAGTTTCAAAATCCAATTGGCAGCCAGCAGTGTGCCGATTTTTAGCCACTGTCAACTTAGACAGCATCATTTTTTTTATATGCTAATTAATTTTTTTAAGAAAAATTAAATTAAAATATACACTACACTACAGATATCTCAGTATATTTTTATATCTTTATTGAGAAAACTTATCACAAATTCTAAATTTTGTTTTTATAATTATCATATATAAAAATAATTTTATATAAATTTTCTGGACATAATGATGATCTCCATAAATTCAGTCAATTTGGTGGTAGAGAAAACTCTTTCGCTAAGTGTGTCATATGCTGAAGCACAAAGAATTTTTTTTTAGATATCATGGATAAATTAGGAAGTTCTATCTTCTTTTCTCTCTAGAATTGTTATTGGCGTTTTCCAAAAAGATTATGACATTCTTATTCTAAATTATTTAAAGTGGAATCATAGTTTAATGTTTATTGCTAATTTTGACAAATAATTTGAATTTAAAATATCCTCTTGATTCATTCGCTTTTTTTACTACTCTAATATCATCATACTCTGTGTTATAATAAATTAGCCACGAAATTGTAACTCAAGATTTTACAGCATATTTTCTTTTAGGGAAATGATTTCTTAGCTATCATTATCATTTACTATTAAATTTGTTTCAATTTCACTTCTAAAAAATGATGCCAAGTTTAAGATGGGCCGTATATAGAATTTTAACTGTTTCTTAAAATATTAAAAGAAAAGGTAATATTTCTACTACTAGATCTGATTTATAATTTGAGATAGTGTTTCCCATCTTTTAAAACTTTATTAATTAAATTTTTATTTGCTCCAGATATGCTTTCAATTTTAATTGAGTACGCCTTTCCTCCAACAAGCGATTGGCTACAGAAAACAATCTTTCACTAGATGCCGAACTAGCAGGGGCGGATAATATTTTACTCGCTTAATTTTTTCAAAAAGGGAAACGAATTTTCATGCTTCCAAAACTTCAAAATACTATCATTATTATTTGTCTTCTGAGCGATGAATCTTTTAAGTTCATCCTCGCAGCTTTCTTCGATAGATGGTGAGGGTTCATCAGTATCATCTAGAAATTCTCTAAATGTTTCATTTAGAATATTAGGTTTCTTGTGAGTGTAGGACGAATTATGACAGCTAATAGTTGGCTTTGGCATTGACTTATACATATCATATTTTATGACATTTAGCATTTTTATGGTAGTTTTATATATATCGTTTTTTTCTTCTTCTGATAAAAACTTAAGGCTTTTGAGATTGGGATCCAAAATTAAGCCTACTTTATGTAGGGGCTGCATGATGAATCTTTCTTTTAAAAGACATCCAGTCCTGATTTTTAAGGCTTCTATTATTGTTGTATCCCCTTCAGAGGGTTGACAAAACTGTAATAATTTTTGTCTCCACAGATAAACTTCATTTATTGTGGGATGAGAATCGGCACTCAGATTTTCCGAGCATTCTTTAAATATTGATAAAAAAAATTCTAACTGCCGTAAGATGGTAATATCAACAGTGGCTAGTCGATTTAATTCTTGCTTGCTAAGCAAGTACACCTGAATTTTGGAATATGATTTTAAGAAACTCTGTATCATGATTTATACAGAGTTCCATCTAGTTATCACATCTTGTTTAAGAGTGTAGCCTAGTTTGCTGTTAGCTGCACTATATACATGTAAATAAGCTTGTTGATAAATTTGATTTGAATATGTAAATTTTAAAAGAAAAAGCTAGCAAAAGTAAAAATAGGTTCACTCGGATGTTGTTTATAAAATTCGAAAGATTTTTTGTTTTCAAAAACTAATCCTTTTTTTTAAAAAAACTGAATTAAATATTATAAATTAAATTGAAAAATATTTTTGGATAATGTAACACGTGGTTTTTGAAGGGTGGGCGTGTTGTGAATTTGTACGTTTAAGTTATATATTTATACATATATATATATAATTTATATATGAAATGTCAGTTAACTTTCACGTTATATCTATTTATACATATATATAATTTTATATACAAAATGTCAATCAAAGAAGTTTAAAAGGATTTGTTTTTTCCTTTTGGATAAATTATTATTGTCTTTGTGGAAGAATAATTTTTAATTGAAAGTTAACTGACATTTCATATATAAATTATATATATATATGTATAAATATATAACTTAAACGTACAAATTCACAACACGCCCACCCTTCAAAAACCACGTGTTACATTATCCAAAAATATTTTTCAATTTAATTTATAATATTTAATTCATGTTCATATAATCTTTCCCCATCATTTCTATTCTCATCATTTATTGGATATCATTGGCTCTATCTACAATCTTTAAAGTATCTATTGTTTGTATAGTACAAATTGGTTTTGTTGTGTCATAATGTAAATTTTCTGTTATGATTGTACAGACTATAGTCCTGTTTATTGATTGCTCGTGTAGAATGATGTCCGTGTCTGCTCTTGGAAAGTGTAACATGTCTGTAACAGCGGCAGGTATTTCATTAGCCTTCGGTTCTCCCCATGTTATGATTTTATCTAAACGTTGTAATTTTCCATCAATCCCAAATGCACCTGGCCACATGTTAACTTCTTCTTTTATCCGTAGCATTTGCATTCCGTTTGACATCTGGATTAAATAGTATTGTGCTAGAGTATTAAGATCATTAGCTAAACACGAAATTCCTAAACGTCCATAGCTTCCTAAATCTATTATGGCTGGAATACTTTGTGAAATTAGGTGGTATCTCTTAACTCCTCCAACTTCTATTTGGATTTGATCTAGAATTGATTTCCCACTAAACATTTGAACCTCATGTTTTTCATCACATTTCACATTCACACATGTCTGAACTTTCCCGGTTCCAAATAAAAAACAACCATTGCTCCAATCACGTCCTGTAATATCACTATTTATTTTACAAATGTAATAATTATTCTTCCACAAAGACAATAATAATTTATCCAAAAGGAAAAAACAAATCCTTTTAAACTTCTTTGATTGACATTTTGTATATAAAATTATATATATGTATAAATAGATATAACGTGAAAGTTAACTGACATTTCATATATAAATTATATATATATATGTATAAATATATAACTTAAACGTACAAATTCACAACACGCCCACCCTTCAAAAACCACGTGTTACATTATCCAAAAATATTTTTCAATTTAATTTATAATATTTAATTCATGTTCATATAATCAGGCTAATGAAATACCTGCCGCTGTTACAGACATGTTACACTTTCCAAGAGCAGACACGGACATCATTCTACACGAGCAATCAATAAACAGGACTATAGTCTGTACAATCATAACAGAAAATTTACATTATGACACAACAAAACCAATTTGTACTATACAAACAATAGATACTTTAAAGATTGTAGATAGAGCCAATGATATCCAATAAATGATGAGAATAGAAATGATGGGGAAAGATTATATGAACATGAATTAAATATTATAAATTAAATTGAAAAATATTTTTGGATAATGTAACACGTGGTTTTTGAAGGGTGGGCGTGTTGTGAATTTGTACGTTTAAGTTATATATTTATACATATATATATATAATTTATATATGAAATGTCAGTTAACTTTCACGTTATATCTATTTATACATATATATAATTTTATATACAAAATGTCAATCAAAGAAGTTTAAAAGGATTTGTTTTTTCCTTTTGGATAAATTATTATTGTCTTTGTGGAAGAATAATTATTACATTTGTAAAATAAATAGTGATATTACAGGACGTGATTGGAGCAATGGTTGTTTTTTATTTGGAACCGGGAAAGTTCAGACATGTGTGAATGTGAAATGTGATGAAAAACATGAGGTTCAAATGTTTAGTGGGAAATCAATTCTAGATCAAATCCAAATAGAAGTTGGAGGAGTTAAGAGATACCACCTAATTTCACAAAGTATTCCAGCCATAATAGATTTAGGAAGCTATGTTTAGGAATTTCGTGTTTAGCTAATGATCTTAATACTCTAGCACAATACTATTTAATCCAGATGTCAAACGGAACGCAAATGCTACGGATAAAAGAAGAAGTTAACATGTGGCCAGGTGCATTTGGGATTGATGGAAAATTACAACGTTTAGATAAAATCATAACATGGGGAGAACCGAAGGCTAATGAAATACCTGCCGCTGTTACAGACATGTTACACTTTCCAAGAGCAGACACGGACATCATTCTACACGAGCAATCAATAAACAGGACTATAGTCTGTACAATCATAACAGAAAATTTACATTATGACACAACAAAACCAATTTGTACTATACAAACAATAGATATTTTAAAGATTGTAGATAGAGCCAATGATATCCAATAAATGATGAGAAATGATGGGGAAAGATTATATGAACATGAATTAAATATTATAAATTAAATTGAAAAATATTTTTGGATAATGTAACACGTGGTTTTTGAAGGGTGGGCGTGTTGTGAATTTGTACGTTTAAGTTATATATTTATACATATATATATATAATTTATATATGAAATGTCAGTTAACTTTCACGTTATATCTATTTATACATATATATAATTTTATATACAAAATGCCAATCAAAGAAGTTTAAAAGGATTTGTTTTTTCCTTTTGGATAAATTATTATTGTCTTTGTGGAAAAATAATTTTTATTATTTTAATAATAATTTATCCAAAAGGAAAAAAACAAATCCTTTTAAACTTCTTTGATTGACATTTTGTATATAAAATTATATATATGTATAAATAGATATAACGTGAAAGTTAACTGACATTTCATATATAAATTATATATATATATGTATAAATATATAACTTAAACGTACAAATTCACAACAAAAACTAAATTATATTAAATAATAAATAAAATATATATTTTTTAAAATTATAAATTTGCAAATTTATATTAATAAAAAACAATTTTAAAAATTAAAATTTCCGTGATTTATGGAAATTTGTGTTCACGCCCACTCACGCACGGGGAAAATTTTGGAAAGGCCCGTCACACCTAATAATTTAAAATTTCTTCACATTCACGCCACACGGTGGGTCACGCGTAATTTCACGGTCCGCGCCCACTTCTTATCTTTGCGAAAGTTAGGATAGATCCAGTGTTAAATTCCTCTAAGTTTGCCCTTTCGAATTAGGTTCGCATTATCGGTTCTCTGGGTGAAGTTAGTTGTTTTTTAAAAAAATATATTATGAGGCTCAACCGGCCTCCATTATCCATTTTTTTGTAAATTCTTTTATATCTAGAAATAGTTGGTCAAAACAATTCTTGTCTATATATATATAACAATGACATATATAATACCTAGACTGACGATTCATTCATTAAAATTTACATCAATGCAAATCAACTGGAGACGCCATCTTGGTTACACTAATCATTAAAATTTTAAACGAGAGCCTAATTTATTCCTATATCTGGTGAAAACTTTATAAAGAATTACTGGATCATCGAGATAATAAGGAAGTACGTTATCATAGTTTTTAACATGAGAATAATTAATATATGTGTTACCAAATAGTGAGGGGTCCAGCTGATTTGCTTTTAACGACGCTAAAAAATGCATATTATTGAATGAATAGTCACTAGGTATTATATATGTCATTGATATATATACTATTTTATAATTATTAAATTTAACTTGTTATTTCAAATAACTTTGAATGTTTTTTAAAAATATGATAAAATATAAAAAAATTCTATTCACGACTATTTTTAAAAAAAGCTTATTAAATTTTTGCTCTAGCAATGTAGGAGGGAACGAGATATCGAAAATCGCTCTCGAATTTTGGGATAAGGGCAAAAGTCGTGAATCAATGACGCGGGAACATTTTAGCGATATCATCAGCCAAAAGGCCTTCAATCAAAAGGGTAAATGAAAATGTTTGAATCTAATTTTTACCCTTAAAAAACTTTTATATAATAACGCCTAATTGAACAAAATATGTATTACAAAAAGGTTAAGTTAAATTTTTTTTTAATCATTTACATAAATTATATACCAACCAGAGCTCTGCAGATGTTAAAAACTGGACTCTGCCGGAAATATAAAATATTCAAATGCGTGCTTATTGCTTTTGCCCCCGATACTAATACCTAACCCGTTATTTATTGGTCCTTTATTTTTGAATGTTTTTGCACTGATTCGAGTTACTTATTTATTTTAAATGGTCACGAAGCCCCATTGGATACAAAGTTTGGGAACCGACAGTGGACCTGCCACCCGTCCCCCATTTTTCAATTGGAAGCGATTAAAATAAATTGTTCTTGATAAAATTTGAATTTCGTTGGCCAAATATTTATGGCGCGCGACAATTCGCTTTCCTATCTCGCTCGGTCTTTACCCCTTTCCTTTATTTCAAGCATCCATTTTATCTGCGAACCGCACTCGGTTCAAGTTTTAGCTCGCGATCTCCATCTTTCATTTTCGAACCTCCCCCTATCATGATTCGTTCTTTCGTAACCATATCCTCGCGATTCCCACCACATTCATTCTACCCGCTAATTCGATCCCGAATAATACGTCGAGACGACGCCACTAATGCATACCTCACCTTGCTTTCTCCACATGATTTTTTTCAAACTTTTGCTAGTTAACGCTGCCCTTACTCATCCGATAACACTACCTGCCCCAAACTTGGCTCACAAATTCTTCTTCAACATCACGTGACCAAGTTCGCGAAAGGAATTCTTAAAACAGTTATTTTAGACGAATTTTGAAACGCCAAAGTATTCATACATTTTTGTGTTTATTCTCATTGGAAAATCTAAAAAAATCGGAATACATAAATTTATATTTTTAACCTGTTTCCTTCAAAAGCTTTCATGCTATAGTCTATCTACTTTCATTTTGAAATGACTTGTACTTTATGAAGTTTTTAGACATCTAAAAAATAAAATCTTTATTCATTAAATACAACTATCCGCTTCAGATCCCGTCTACTTGTTTTCAGTGATATCGAAATAAACTTTAAATAGCAAGCGCTCTTGCTCGTAAAATATAAAACACACGTTAAATCCTTTACTACATTTTTTTGACGCGTGGATTACAATTAACACTTTGTGGGTTATATATAAATTAAATCTTGTCGACATTTCCTGACATAAATATACAGAAATTTATTAAATATATGTTTAATCTCTAATACTTAGAGTTAGAGGTAGTTTTTTTTTCGAAAATGGGACTTGATTGCCAAACCTTACTCAGATGTAAACTTTGGTATGGAATAGTTTTACGCTATATTGATATTGAGAATCGATTTGATAATATGTATATAGTCTAATGCCGAGAAATTGTTTAAACCTGGATATAATAAAAGAAAGCTACTTATGGGCCAAGGCCGGTGTTGGCTACTTGATTTGGTATATATTAGATATGGTCAAAGACCTAATGTTTGTCTAGGTTTTGGCTCTAAAAGTATCATGATAAATTTAAAATATTTTCTTAGTTTGTAACTATTTCCCCGTCCCGCATCACGTATTAATAGTCAAAATATTGCCTTTATACTTATCTATCTCCTTCCCTTCTCTTAGTATATTAATTATTTTCGCCTCCTTTTAATCTTAATGGATTATCCGTATTTTTTTCAAAGGTGGACTACAACGAAGTTCGCTTATCGACCACTACCTGATTGACCTTTACGTACCATTCCTACCCCTTGAGCGGTCTCACGTTAAACTTTGCGTTCGCGACGCCCTCGATCGAAAAACGGCGGGCCGAAGGTACACATTCAACCGGGCGAAACCGGAAGAGATTGAACAGCTAATCGAGTCCGTTGCCAACGAATTAACTTATTACCCGCCTAACCTGTCCATCTACTCTACCTCCGGGTGCAAGAGGATCCCCCAAAAATTGGACTTACTGTACATGGGACTGGAAGATAGGTTGTTAGGCAGGGAACACAGCTCAATTCGAGAGTTATAATTTAGGATGATGCTTTTGGATTTTGGAAACATTTTAAGGATTTGAATTATAAACAATTAAGTAACCATTATTAAGGCATACGACAATAATCAACACCCACCCCCAACCTTAGCACAAAGTTTTTTTCAATTTTTTAGTTATTGTTATACATGTATACGGCCAATAATGGCCAGCAATAGTTTTGTTAAAAGGCTTGTTTTGAGCCGATTTTTAAAAAACGGCTAACTTAATATTTCATCTAGAAAAATATTACGCATGCCTGAAGATTTTACTCATGGAAGGAACAAAGGTCTTAGGCATACAGACAATAATTTTCTGGCTAAAATATTGAGTTGGGCGTTTTGAAATACCGGCTCAAAACGAGCCGTTTAACAACAACTATAGCGATGAAAAATATTTTTTGGTCAAATTTACCGGAAAAAATATTTATATACTCATAAGTAAAGTAATACATTTTTTTTAACCAAAATTATTTCACGATACAAAAAATATCCTTTCGTTTTTACTGTATTCAAATGTTATCTAAATTTCCTATTGGCCCATCCATCGAAAACATCATAAAATCGACCATGCTTTAATATCAATTATTTTAATTTTATGTAAGAAGAAATTAGAGTGACAATTTTAAAACTATTAATTTTTTTTACAGCTGATTTTATTTTACTAATCAAACTCTAATTATTTAATTTTAGAAATTATATATTTGTTTTTTTTAAAAAAAAATATTAATTAATAATATCGAAAGATTTAAATGTGTTTCACAATATTTTATAAATTAAGCGCAGATGATATCTCAATTATTGTATTATTTTTTTTTAATAGCGTATATTTTTATATAGTTACAAAATATATTATCATGTTACTTTTGCTCAATAGTCATATAAAATTATACCTTTTTTTAAAAAAAATAATTAATAAAATATAATTCTTAACCCATTAAAAAGTCTAAGGTTGTTTGCTCTCTGGAAATTAATAGTTAGATAATCCATCAATTCAGCTTTATTTACAGATATCAGCCTAAAAAAGGTTCTTGGAGTGCGAGTTTATTTTTTCCCCAACTATCTCTTAGCTCCCCTTTTGGAGAAAACGAAGACCGAAGTGATAGTTAAGGTTTTTTCTGCCATTAACTAGGTTTAGTTCATTTTATGGGCCCTGATAAAACGGCTAAAAATTATAATTTTTAATAACTATAGTTGGGTGATTACTATATTTTTAGCCGAAAACTATCATTTTAGCCTCGGGGTTTTTTTTTAAAAAATAGCTTTGGATTAAAATATTGTAAATTAATACGCCTTATTTTTAATGGATTTTCTCCGGTAGGCGCTTGAAGATTGAGCCAACATTTAGTTATTACCCAACTATACTAATAACTTATTAAAATTTTAAAACATGGGCGCAGAGTCCTTTACTACCCTTTCCTTCTTTAAACATTAATTATATAATATAAATAAATATTAAAATGTATTTATCGAGATTAAAAATGTAAAATTACCTTAAAAAGTAATTTGAAGTCGTCACATTTTTAAAAAAATTATGACTAGTTTACCAATTATATTAAACAAATTTAAAAAATCGAAGAACAATATTTTAAAGAGACCTACCTTAAATTTGCAGTTACACCTTTACCAAAAGGCGCCAAGGAATTGCAAGTTTTTGTCGGTAATAATTAATTATTATCATAAATTTATAAACAATTTTTACAATATCGCCGCTCCCTCGTATAAGCTTTTAAGGAAGAATGTGTCATGGAAATGACAGAGAATAAATAATAAATTATTTTAAAAAAATTCATTTATAATCCTAAAATTCTAGCTGCTTGACATTTCTCAACATGGAGTAGGATCAGTTCTGTCTCACATCAATAACATCGTTCCGGTTGGGTTGGCTTTTCAACATCAAATTACTGAGCTTATTAATGATAATTTTTTGGTCAAACTATTACCTGTTGAAATGCTTTTATTTCAATACTAATCCATATTTTGAGTTAAAACTCATTAATTTCAGAAGATAAAATTGTTGCTTTGACCAACCTTTGTAATAATTTCTATGATTTATTGTTATTGAATAAAAAAAAATTAAATAATAAGTATGTTAGATAAGGTTAAATTTATAAAAATTTATTTATACCGAGGAGATAAATTTTATGCATGAACTCTACAAAGTTTTTCAAACAAAAGGTATCGTTCTTAAAACAGTCTTTCGTCATATTAGTGCATGTAATAATATTTTCAATGTCTAAAATAATATTCCAAGGACAATTAATAAAATTTTAAATATAAGGATAAAGAAGCATGATAATATTTCATATTTAGGAATGGTCGATAATGAATTATTACACTTTTACAAAAGTGATTTAATATCCATAAATTGGCGTAATATATACAAAGAATAGCATTTTTAGTTAATATTCCAGCATTTTTTTAAATTTTTATAATTGGACAAGCCCTTTCAAATAGTTTTTTTTAAATTTTTAATCATCTCAGACAGAATTGAATCCTCAAAAACCTTAAAAGCACAGCTGAATTTTTTATTATTAGATATCTTGTAGTTAAAATTATTTGTACAAAAAAAATGATTCCCTAGAAAAACATCAGGAAGGGAGGAAGAGATATTTGACTATTCGGTGAATCTGTTAGGAAAAACCAGGATAATATTTCATTATTTAAAAAAATCTTCAAAGAAAATAAATATGAAAAACAATTTTTCAAATAGCTTGCAAGTAGATTTAAATTTGCCCAAACAGCTGGTCTTTTATCTGTAGTGCGCTAAACTCCTTCCAACATTATTTCTTGATATATTTAAGTTTGAAAAAATTCCAAACCACCATAAAATATTTTAGTAATTATGATGCAGGGTGCAGAAAGGACTAACCCTGATGCAAGTCATAGATACAAATATTTTTTCTGTTTAAATTTAATATCGTTGCCTATTCTAATTTTCGTATTTCCTGGCTATGATTTCTTATCCCTATAAAAGTTTTTTACACCGTTTGCCCAAGGAGATAGCCTAGACTGAAGATAGCATAACTACCAATATTAACTATAAAATAGTTTTCGAAAATCAATATAAGCTTTCTAATTATTACCGGCTCCTATTTTTGAAGATGAATTATGTGCTGATACTGACTCCTCATTTACTAATGAAAGAACGATAAAAATTATCATGCATACCGAAAGATTTATATTTTCCAGGTCTTCTCCTTTAATTTTCATTGGTCAACTATCCTTAATTGATGGAGTATATATATTGTTATATTCATAATCCATTACTGTATACTTATGGAAAGTAAAATAAGACTGGACATTTAGCTTAGATGATTGATAAACCATATGCTCTTACTTTTAAAAGAAAATACTTTGACTTCTTCGAAAGTTAATATATTAATGGAGGCTATATATCTTTATTATCTTTGAGAAAGAGAACTTAGTATACCTCTTTGCGCCTCATTCAAAAATATCCATTGTTATTTTATTTCTCTACGCATGGGTTCCTAGAAAATGGATATTTTCTTAAACATTTATTTATATATTATTTCAATGATTTTAAATTTATTTTTCGTTAAACAAAATATTTATTTAAGTCGAGTATAGTTAAATACATTATTAATTAAGTAAATAAAATATATTTATTTTTTAAATATAAAAATAAAAAGATTTCTTTGAAATTTTTTTACGTATTTAAATATAAAATTAAAAAATTCTCCGAAATGAAAAAAAAAGCAAATTAACTATTATATAAATATAAGGAAAAAAATATAATTTTTATTTAAAAATATTATATTCATTTTATTTTAAAAATAAATTAATTATAATTTTAAACAATTTAAAAGTTGAATTACTTTGTAAAAATGTCCCGTATGACTTGTACGTTTTTCGCAATTCTTTCATTAGTAAGCCACTTAAATTTTTATAAAATATATTTATATTTTTTAAAAATATAAATTTAACATACTCAAAATATTTTTTGTTTAATTTTAAGGTGATGATTATCAACTACAGCATTCAGAATGCAATAATACGTAAGATATTTATTTTTGTTTATATATTCTATATTAAATTATAAATACCTTTTTTTTCTAAATAAACATTGGGGATGTATATTATATTTTACATAATTTATTCGGGTTTTATTTCTTTTTGTAATTTTGAGCCATGGCTGTCGTAGACCTTATCATTTCTCAGATTTAATGGTTGAGTTGCTTTAAACAGCTTTTCATCTGTCAACCATATAAAATGAACTAACCTCTGAGGGTATATCTTCGAAGAAGTTTCAGCTGCAGCTCTTAGTGGATAATTTATGCACTGAAGTTGAAATATCAGTTTCTTTGGGTTAACGTGGCAGGTCGGTAGTCTTGACTCAATAAGATAGCTTCATTTCAACATAATCAATATTTTCCATAGTACACACTGTGCATGGTCTATTACTACCAACCTACCATTTTAAGTTTTTATAGTCAAATGATGAACCAGTTTCTGATAGGAAATTCTTTCAAAAATCTTTTGGCTCTGTAACGTTTTTCTTGTCTTAATATTTTAATTAAACTCAATTTATCTTTATTCAAAAACCATTTTTTTTTATTATCGTCTGCTTAAATGTAAAGTTTGATAATAAATTTTAAAAAATCAATTTTTGACATGTTGGAAAGTTCGAATTTGTGTACCCAATTTTGAATATAATATATAACCTTCTACTTCTACCCTTTTAATCGAATTCATGAAATTTGAATAAACTATTGATAATTTACTCCACTCTTCAATCTATAAAGAATTTATTTAAATTATCCTTAGAATTGACATTATATTGCTAAAAACAAGAATGGCATAATTTCAATTGGAACACAGTGTATATCCAATATAATCAACTTCCCAATTAATTTAATCTTTATTAATATAAACTTTTATATTTATATAGCTGGCCACAGTGGATATCAAGAAATTAATAATATCCAGATAGAAACATTCACCGCACGATTTTGTGATAATAATTATTCGGAGCCTAGCGACTGTAAAGATCCCTGTTCCAAAGAAAATATAGGAACTTGCAATGCGACACTTGTATTATGTGCGCCAATTTATTGCAATGGGACCTCTAACGCTGATTTTACCGATGCGAATACAGGTGATATCGCTCATTGTACAAAAAAGATGATTTAGTTATTTCTTAAATTATATATGCACACCAATTTATATGTCGGGCTACTTTAGATACAATTTGATATAGTCAATAAAAAAATTAATTATATTAAAAATTGATATGACCATTATTATAATCAGTAACTTTGTAAAATATGCAAATAAAATTGAATTAAATGTATTACGATAATATTAATTACTTTCCATTTTGTGTCAATCTTGCTAATAAAGCATTAATGGGAGGGGGGGGGGGAGGTATGAGAGGTAGTAGTTTATTATTAAATAATTGGGATATATAATTCTAATGAAAAGCTTTGGCATCCTTTGCATCTAAAATCATGTTGGGGAATATAGAAGATAATGTTCTTTAATGGAAGAGTAACAAAGGACATGATTAATTAATATTTATTTTTAGCAAAATTATAACATGGGTAACCAAGCAAGGTCAGAATTCAACTAAGAGGGTCGTAAAATGAGATAGGAATAGGAGGCGGCTGGAGGAGAGGGTAGTGGTTTATTATCGCCATTAGCTTAGAAGTGTCAGGGGAGCTAATCTATCAGAATATATACAATCTTAGAATCGATAATAAATCATAAGGGATCTAGGGCCCCCACATTTTGTTTATTTATATAATTCATTTTTATTTATAAAAAATAAATAAAAATTAAAATATTAAAAATGTTCCAGTAAATTAGGTTAAGGATATATAAAAGGTAAACACAAAATTTTGGCAGCCTAAAAGTTTTTT